AGTTCACTTTATAGTGTAAGTCGAGTTTCAGAAAAGCTCTCAAACTCACCACCAAACACCAAAACTGACCTTTGTTTCACCAAACTGATTTAATTTGTCAGAAGGTTTTAGTTTAGTTAGAATATCATTAAATAGACTGAACCATGTCTCTCTTCTGCCGCTTTTAGTTACTGTTTTTGGCATAGACAAGGTTTAAAAAAGTTCCTTATGAATGAACTTCAGAATTTGAACGTTTGATCATGAATTAAACCATTAAAAACATTTTTTATTTTTATCTTTTCCCCCAGATCCAATAACAAGCAAATAAAAAATATGTTGTTGAAACATTTAAATTGAATTCACCTACATTGAGGGGTTGAAGTTTTATTAAATGTAACTTTTCCTTTTCCAAAAATATTTAATTTACGCAAAATTAAAGTGTTGATTAAAGAAGAATGCATGAAGCTCAAATAAATGTGTTGGCAGGGAAATATTTAGTTTCTCAGTTTGCCATTTATTATACCATTATTAATTACCAAATTGCAATTTCAAATGAACTGTTCCAGAGTTTTTCATTTCTCCTATTCTTTTTTTCTACGAGACACCTAAAACTCCCTTCTCCTCTATAAAGTGCCTTTACTGGAGCTCCTCAGACACCCCAGAACATCTGCTATCCCAGTCCAATCCAGCCGAGTTATTCAGACCAGGTTTGCTATAATGCTCCAATGCTTTAACCTACACATCTGTCTTCTTCCACAACTCTAAGAGAGATGAAAATGATCCAGAGGTCTAAGGGACTAAAGGGATGTCTAAATCACACAGAAGACAAACCAGGACCTCATAAATTGTGTGTGTTGATGGATTCCCAAGCTATACATTACATCGTTCGATTACCATGAAACATTCAACAAAATACAAAACACATCTGATTTTTCAATGATCAAGATGTCTTCTGTATTTACACTATAGCACCTTGAGTAACCATTTCTCAAACTCTAATTATTTGCAGAGATCTCTGGACTGAATGTCTTCTCCAGAGATGTTACTCAAATCCACACCTGCGCTAGGAAAAAAGCAAACTAGCTTGATTTGCACAACAGAAAAGAACAATCTGGCAGACAGATTATTTTCAGCATAGTGATGTTCAACAGTTTAGGATGTCTTTATTAGTAACAAATGCAGAGTTTTCCTGTATATCTTCTTGCACTTCAAAAGATAGTCTAAATATTTCAAATGTACAGTCAGTTATGTCTGAAGTGAAAATAAAAGTTTGTGGAAAACCTTTATTAAAATGAAAGTACGTCATTACAAACAGCAAACTCATTTTTGACCAACCTGAAGAATATTACGTGCCATTTTTCAACTGTATGCTTGCTCTTTTATGTTTGTTTTATTGGGTATATTTGTTCATAGCTGAATGATCATGTGCCTTCAGTAATGCTTTTACTTCATGTGCTTCAGTAGTTGTGTCTTTAATATTAAAATTGGAAAATAAAGATCATGCATTTGTTATAATGGTACATGATAGGCTATTTTGCTTCTTTTTTTATTTTATTTTATTTTATTTTATTTTATTTTATTTTATTTTATTTTATTTTATGAAACTTTTGACACAGCAAGTGAAAAGCTGAACAACTAATAGTAAAAAAACTATGCAATTTTTGAATTTGAGTTAAAAGAAGATTTAATGCAGTTAACAGTGTTGGCAGTTTGGCCGGTTTTGAATATGATTTTGTGGGTCAAAAATGGCATTTAGGTTGGTTACCAAAATTTGGGCGGTTTTGAAACGTAAATTTTATATGCAATTTAACAAAACATAACTATGTGCTCCTACTCCATTCAATAGTGACCAGTGCATAGCACAAATCACGTGGGCTCACCCTCAAGAGGAGGTGAAGGAAAGTTGTGTCAAAATCTGACTCCCTGGACAAAGCCGACTCCCTTTCGCGTGTACACTCATCACGCGTTGCCTGTAGTTATGCTCACGGAGGTTTATCAAAAAAGTTTTCGATAATTTTTTCTGCAATTGACCAAGAACAAACATAGAAGCAGCAATCAACTACGTTCAGTTTAAAACGCCAAATAGGATGAATTTACACCCTATTTTGAAAGTAAAACATACTCTAATATAATGTAATCTACACAATATTAAGTGCAGTGAGTGGGTGAGAGGGGCAGTGTTTCGATGTGATCCGTTTATGTTGTGGTTTTGTGATTGCTGGTGTTCCTCTATGGTTAAAATTAGGACAGTTAAAGTATCTAGGTTAATTTAAATATATTAAAGTTAAATAAAATATTGATCTTATATTTTGGGAGGTTTTTTGTGTGTTTGAGGTTTTGGGCTGGAAAAAGTCCGCTATACCTGGCAACACTGGCAGGCAAAAATATTTTTGGGGGACAACTAAATTGTTTTATGTTCAGCCCAGTTAAATTTGGAACAACGATTAACTTTATCAGTTTGTGTTGAAACAACATAAAGTAATTGTGTGGAACCCTGCATATTTACAGTGTGAAGAATGTTGATAAATTTTTACCACTGGCATCCATAGTAGGAAAAACAAATACTATGAAAGTCCATGGTTAAGTTTTATTTTTTATTCATGGTTAGAATTTTCCAGCATTCTTCAAACCATCTTCTTTTGTATTCACTAGAACAAAAAACCATAAACAAAACAGTAAATTATGACAGAATTTTTGAATGAGTTATCCCTTTTAGACGTGCATAAATTTTGTCATTTGAATTTATGCTGTGGAATCAAAAATGGTATTATCAATATTTTTTATGGTATTTTGAAGTTAGAAATTAGTAGCATATAGAGTGTCGTTATGTGGCCTTATTCAGACAGGAGGAGAACAATTGCTGAATGTTTTCAGTCTGAGCTGACTTTTTCCATGGCACAGTCCTCTGACACTACTTATGTCGCCATTAGGAAGCTTCCCACTGCTTCTTTTCAGCACATAAGACATAGACGGATGACTGAACTAGGGAATGTGCTGGAAAGCTAAGGAGAAGGAACAGAATGATAAATTAGGCCAAAAACCGGATTGAAAGGAATAGGAGAGCTGGAAAGCATATAGACGAGTTTGACAAGTAGCAAATGTCCACCACATATAGCTTAACCAGACATGTTAGTGTAACTTCCTAGATATTTAAAAACTGAAAATTAAATGGTAACACTTTTTTTAATGGTCCATTTAAGTATTAGTAGACTATCTGCTTAATATCTGTTGCTACTGCTGCTAAACAGACATTTAACTGACCATAAGAAAATTTGGAAGTACATGTCAACTTACACTTACCCTAACCCCAACATAACAGTCTACTTATAATCTAATGAGAATTAGTTGACAAGAAAATACAATTTACCTTAAATTAAACAAACGGACCGTCAAAATAAAGTATGACTCGAATTAAAGTTTAAAATAGAGTACCACAAGGCTCAGTACTCGGATCATTGCTTTTTATGTTATACATGCCCCAACCCTAACACTGATTTAATTTTCTAATCTCTTTTCAACTAGACTCAATGAAACATTAAATAACGAAACTCCCCAAGTGCAGAGTTGATACTTTATGTTGTGTTTTCATATCTTATTTATATTTCATATCTCAATAAATACAACAATAAATTCAAGTGTAATTCACCTCAAGGCTACATTAGTTTATTGTGTTAATTGTTCAGGCCTAATAAACCAATGCTGTACTGTCAAGCACCATGTTTTTTGGTTGCACATCCACTTTTAAGGAATCTTTTTAAGAAGATTTTCCCTTTAGTATTTCAAATGCTAAAATTTATTAGTCTTGACATTGCTCTGTATTCCTGAATCCATTGGGATACCTGTCAAGGTTGCACAAAGATCCATTCAGATGAGAAAATCCCCTTAAAGTGTTCGAATTTTCCCAGCAAGCCAAGCAACTGGTATTCTTATGCCCTGACACAGCACTCATCTCCTTACTCGACTATATTAAATGTTTGCTACAGCAGATCAGAGGATAGATCACTCTCGACATCTGATACCAGACCAGCACAGCCATTTCCATTAGACTGATCAAAGTCATGGGAACATTATTCTTGAGTTAGCACCTACAGATAATATTTCAAACACACACATATACTTTTTATGTAATACTGTGGATATATTATTAACAACCAAAATCATGCATTATATGTCAAGACTATAACTGAATTCCATTAAATCATCTGCATTTTGTGAAAAAAAAAATATAATCATTTAAAAACCTGAGCTTTAATCTGAATGATAGGAGTCTACTGTGATTCAGAAACAAATTAATCAAAACATTACTTAGTTCAACAGTTTGTCTATTATTTCTAATTCATTGATCTTATGTTGTATTTTAATAACACTGTGAAGCCAAAAAGTATTTACTGCCCACACATTAGTTTAATCGGATTAAAAGCACTGACTCTGTCCCAAATTATATGCAACTTTCCCACATTTGAACCAATCACAAATCACAAGCCTCGCAGAAAAATATTCAGCAAGGTTCAAAAGTGGCACAAATTAAGCTTTTCAACAATCACTCAACCAACCAACCAACCAAAAAAATCAATCCCTTAATCCATCATTCAACCAACCAACCAATCAATCCATCAATCAACCAACCAATCAATCAATCAATGTATCAATCCATCAATCAACCAACCAACCAATCAACCAATCAATCAACCAAATCAATCAATCGGATATACCATTTTAAAATTTTATTTCAGACAATCTTAGCAATGTTGAACATATATTATTGTCAAAGCAGCACATTTAAAACAGTGACTCAAAGTAACGAGGACAAATAGAGGCCTTGGTCTGCTTTATAACACTCTTAATGAAAAGTTTTTCAAGGGAAGTGACCTCACTAAAAAGGGAATGATGTTGTCACATAAGCATGCTATATGTCACCCAGCTTTGCCACCTTCAAAACATCAGGAAGTGTTCTTGTGATTAAAGTAACCCCCATATGAAAGGAAATGATTTGATTAGAGCATGACATTAACCATTCTTACCTTGAAATGGCAGGAAGACTCGCGGCTGTGGAGAAGAAAGAGCATGAATGCTGGAGACGCTGAGGCCGAGGAGAAGGAACAGCTGAACACTCGTCCCCAGTGGATAAACCCAGAGTGCTCCTGACCTCCCCATGACTGCTGAGGAGACTCCCAGACCAGCCCACCTGCGGAGACGAGGTAAAGGAAATGTGAAGGTCGAAACAGGCCTGCTGAGGAGTAAGGAGACTTATAAAGTAAACTGAGAGATGATGATAAATGCAGTTTGAGGGTAGAGGTGGATTACTCCTTAGCTTATATTATTAATTGTTTATGCCCTATATTCCAGTTAAAATAATAAAATCAAAAGCAATCTTGAATCAAGATTTTTTTGAGGTGCAACATTAAAAAAGATGTCTAGATTTTGGTTTTGAACTAGATAAGATGGCATGTTTTTACCATTAACTGTTGCTAGCAAGAATAAGCTACTTAGTAAGTTTTTGGCCTGAATAGCATGTTGCTAGCATGAATTGGCATGACAATAGCATACTTCTAACATGAATTCAAAAAAAAGCTTATCAGATTTTTTTTTAACATGATGTTGCATGTTAGTAAACAAATTAGCCGGTTAAACAAAATAGCAAGTTGCTAGCATGAATTAACATGTTTTGCAGGAATACAATGTTGTTACCATGAATTTGCTAGTCACTGATATGTTTCAAACACGGATTAGCCTGTTTATAGCATGACCAGCTAACATGCTTCTAACAAATCAGCATGGAAATAGCATGTTTCTGCAATTGCATTGTTACAATATTTGAATATAATATACGAACACTACCATATGGGGTCTTATGCAATAACATGCATGTAACTTGTTCTGTGGATTATTGCATACTACCACTACACTTGGTTTAAAAAAATAATTAAATATAATTCAGTAATTTACATTTAAATTATATCATGAAGTGTTCAAATCAGGGGCGTTGCTAGGGTCGAAAGGGAAAAGGGGCTTAGCCCCCGCTTCCAGTTTTTAGATATACTAATTTATCTTTTAGTGAGGACAACTGAGGAATTGAGTTTGAGAACATTGTTTTAATGCCTTTAAAGTGAAATAACTAAACAAAAACATCAGAGGCTGAGAAAAATGCTCGTGTAGAAGAAACATGTATAAACAATAATATTACAATGGATGTTCATTTATTCATTTTCTTTTTGGCTTAGTCCCTTTATTAATCTGGGATTGCCACAGCGGAATGAACCACCAACTTATATCCAGCATATTTTTTTGCAGCGGATTCCCTTCCAGCTGCAACCCATCTCTGGGAAACATCCACAGACACTCATTCACACCATACACTACAGACAATTTAGCCCACCCAATTCACCAGTAACGCATACCTTTGGACTGTGGGGGAAACCAGTGCACACGGAGGAAACCCACGCGAATGAAGGGAGAACATGCAAACTCCACACAAAAACGCCAACAGACCCAGTCAAGGCTCTAACCAGCGACCTTCTTGCTGTGAGGCGACAGCATTACCTACTGTGCCACTGCGTCGCCACAATGGATGCTATTATTATAATTATTTCTTACAAACTACAATCTACTGACCAGATAATACCAAATAAATGCCCAAAAAATGTATATTGACACAAATGTGTAATCAAGAGAACATAACAAATTATTGTTTAACTTCAGAAACTTGTAAAGCATTGTGCTGTAACTGTCTAATCACAAGCAGATTTGAAACGATACTACAGTACAGTACATCACACCGCTCAACCAACTCAACTTGTATTGAACCCTCAACATTCCTTTAAAAATTCAACATGTTTTGCGTTTGAGACATTAGCCACTTTCTGGGTAAAAATGTCTTATGATATAGTGCTAAATCAACAGTGCTTCAAAAGCCGCCAGTTAAAACACACATTTTACCAGTTATATCATAAGTTATGCTTGAAAGCATTTTCCCTAAAGGCCTCCTGTTAACCTTTTAGTTAATTAGTGCTGAGAAAGTGCCATGACATTGATCCACTCAGTCATGATATCAACCAGTATCTTATAAACAATGGCTCCTGTCCAGCTTCCTGTCCAGAGTCATTACCTTTGGGCAAGTGCATTGTGAGGACTATCAGGGTAGGGTTAGTGCAAAAAAAATTACAAACAAATAAAAAATTGCTTTTACTTCTTACAAAAAATGCATGGACATTCCCTTGTGTTTCTCTTCTCTATAATGGGACAACAGTAGTTCAATAATACATGAGGAGAAGTTTGATTTCCACTTCAAAAAAAAAAAAAAACTCTTGTTTCATGCTCCAGGGAGAACAGACAGCTTGTTCTGACCAGGACACTCTTGGAAAAAAAGAATGTGTGTGGTTCATAATTATATATTAATAATATGTTTGTTTTGTAGCCGAGAGTGCAGAAGGACAAAGAGAAAAGTAAGAATAGAGCAGTCTCTGGGCTCATGTCTTATACATGAATGATGTGAAAGATTGATAGGAACTTTGTACAAGGCATCTGCAGTGCATGTCTGACTCGGTGAGGTTTGAGCTCCCTGCGCAGGGTGTGTTCATAGTCAGCACAATTGCATGCTTGTCAAAGAAGACACCAGGTAGAGTGCACAGCTTGAATTTGCTGTATAGAGGAGATTGATGTGGCTTGTTTACATTTTTTGGCATCTCGCACCATGAGCACCGCATTTTTTTGGAAGTTCAAGGTGCTAAGGTGGTTTTTTATTTGTTTGGCTATTTTTGTGGCAAAACCAGTTACTTAACTAGAAATGTACTAGCTTTGAAAGTGACTTCGGCTAATCTTTATGCATCTATTCTGTTCTGTTTAACATTTTACCTAAAATAATGCATATTTTTGTCCACTTGATCAGAAGTATGCCCAATGTTCCATTATAGATGCATGCTTTATTTCAGCCACAAACACCACACTGGATATATATGGATATACAGTATATATATCTAATATACACTCACCGGCCACTTTATTAGGTACACCTTACTATAGTACCGAGTTGGATCCCATTTTGCCGTCAGAGCTGCCCAAATCCTTTGTGGCATAAATTCAACAAGGTACTGGAAATATTCCTCAGAGATTTTAGTCCAAATTGACATGATAGTTGCTGCAGATTTGTAGACTGCACATTCATGATGCCAAAGGTGCTCTATTGAATTGACCTCTGGTGACTGTGGAGGCCATTTGAGTACAGTGAACTCATTGTCATGTTCAAAAAAAACAATCTGAGATGTTTCGTGCTTCATGACATGGCGCTTTATCCTGCTGGAAGTAGCCATCAGTAGATGTGTACACTTTGGTCATAAAGGGATGGACATGGTCAGCAACAATTCTCAGGTAGGCTATACCAATCACGCAATGCTTAGTTGGTACTAATGGGCCCAAAGTGTGCCAAGAAAATATCGCCAAGACCATTACATCAAAAATACCAGCAGCCTGGACCGTTGATACAAGGCAGGATGGATCCATGCTTTCATGTTTTTCTAATCTTCCATGTCCAATTATTGTGGGTCTGTGTGAATTGTAGCCTCAGTTTCCTGTTTTTAGCTGACAGGAGTGGCACTCTGTGTGGTCTTCTGCTGCTGTAGGCCATCCACCTGAAGGTTTGACGTGTTGTGCGTTCAGAGATGCTCTTCTGCATACCTCGGTTGCAATGAGTTGTTATTTGAGTAACTGTTGCCTTTCTATCAGCTCGAACCAATCTGGCCCTCTGGCCTCTGGCATCAACAAGGCATTTGCACCCACAGAACTGCAGCTCACTGGAAATTTCCTCTTTTTCTGACCATTCTCTGTAAACCCCAGCGGCAGTTGTGTTTGAAAATCCCAGTAGATGGGACACCAACAACCATGAACTGCAGTAGATCGTCTCGACCATGTCTGTGTGCCTAAGTGCTTTGAGTTGCTGCCATTTGAATGGCTGATAAGAAGTTTGTGTTAATGAGCAGTTGTACCTAATGAAGTAACCGGTGGCAATATTTTCATTGCAGTGAATGAAAATATTGAAATGTCATTTTTTTTCCAATATCGTGCAGCCCTGGTACATCCAGGACATATATTTTTACTTATTTAAAATCCAGACATACATTTTTATGTCATATATGTGATTTGCATATATTGTCATACATCAGATATTTGACACAGATTTTTCACACTGTCCACTAGAAATTTACACTATTTGTAAATGCTGTCAAAGTTTTCTTCATTTCTCAAATTATGCATATTTTAGTGCAAAACAATAAACAAAACTTCACCAAAAATACAGGTTTGGCATTTTAGGACCAGGACACACCTAGCTGACGCCAAACAACTACTTAGAACCAATAAACTAGCACCTCACATTAGGTTGTATTCGAACCTAAAAAGCTGCGTGTGAACACAATCAACGAACAAAATATGACTGTGTCTTTATGTGCTTTGTGATCTTTCTTGGCTTGAATTGTTTACTTGCTAGATTACTTCACCACACCACACTCGCACTCTGATTTCAGAACACTCTCTTCCTCCAATGGTCTGATGACAATTCAACGATTGAATTGAGCCAGCAAGCTCCAACATGATCCCAAAAAGAGGCGACATATGGAACACATCAAACCAACTAGTCAGACCAGCAAAGCCCAAAGTTGGACTTTTGGCTTGGTGTGTCCAGGCCTTTAGTCTAAGTCTAACAACCAATGTCTTGCCTACAAGTGTACTACAGCTCAAGGATATTGTTGTTGTTTTTGTTGTTGTTGTTGTTGTTGTTGTTGTTGTTGTTGTTGTTGTTGTTGTTGTTGTTTGTCATCTCACAGCTTGAGAGGACGCCAGAGATAGAGAACATTGGCTTAAGCTGTTGGTTAGTTTACACCACCTGTTTTGTTACATTAAACCTGTGTGCCTTCAGTTATTTAATGTTAACACTTGCACCCTTTAGTACTTATAAATGTTACCACCAACTTAATGCAGGTTCAACAAGACTTTATAAGTTTGTATGTTTGTATAGAGCGTGTTTATAAGTGAGAGTTGTGTGTTGTGAGAGTGTTTTGATGGGGTCAAAGAAAAAAAGTTGATTTGCATGAGTTAATGCATATTTACAAGTGTGCGTATGTGTATACATGTGCATGTGTTTGTTTGAGCATAAGATAAACTGCAGTGGGCTGAAATGTCTTTGGCAGTATGTATTGGAGAGAAGCTCTTAAGCTGGGTGGAGGCTACTTCTCTTTGGATAGTAATGGCTTTCTACTCCTGGTCAGAGTCTGCCAGAGGTATACAAGCATACAGCTGCTAAAGTCATCATTGGGCCATCATAGATCCATCACTGATCTGAGATCACAACACCTAAATGATATATAATCCCTCATTGTTTGTGTGTGTAATAAACAGACCCTTACTTAAAGCCCACAGAGCATTGAAGCAACTCTCTAAAATGCTTCTGTCAATTGCAACACTGAACAATGAGATATTTTTATATATCTTAATTTTCCTTTTTATATACACGATTATGCCATTGAACTGTTGTTTAAATGCAATATCACACTCATAGCAGTGCGATGTGGCTGTATATCGTCACTGAGTGGGACAGTGCTGATATACAGCCATATCGCACTATATATATTGTCAGTTTACAAAAGGAAAAAAAAAACATCACCTGAGTATCACAAAAAAACTATTCAGTAAGACATTGTATACATGTTAATGTTTTGTTTTCCATTTAAATTTGTTAATTTAATTAACATTTGTCATTTGTCAATAAAACACCATTTTTTTCTAGATAGTTAAAATAAATGAATTCTGAAATTCTGATATATCTGGGCCAAATATCATCTTTTGTATATAAAAAGCTTTGTGTTCCTTAATACATGTCATAGGTGCTGATATTTAACTTATATTTTGATATTTCTGATGTTGATTTTCTAATTATAATTTTCCAGATCTTTTAGTTCACTGCCTTTTTAGAAAGATTGACTAGAGCTGCATAATTGTATACGATTGTTGTGTGCTTTGTCAGTTAAGCCGTTCTGTAATCGGTAGTAAATCTCCATGAGATCTCCACAAGATGTGCATGACAGTCATAGCTTTTGCTAAATGATACATGTGATTTTATGTTAATTTATTGTGTGACCCTAATTGAAACAACATTTGAGATGTTTTTACTGTATAAGATTGATCAGTTCAGTTCAGCATAGTGGCATTTCTTTCATCGTTGTTGTTGTTGTTGTTGAATGTTTATTACTTTACTCAATAATGTTTCCAACATGCTTTACACCCATATTTCTATTGATAAAAAAATTTTGCTTATTTGATGCACATTTTTAAAATTTCTTTCTAACCAAATTAAGCGATTGACAAAATACTGCTTGTGAAGCATCTGGTTAGAAGAGAAAAACAAATCTGATTTTAAAAATCTTTGCTTTTTTATCTAGCTTGATTAGGGCACGCTGTGAGAATTGAACTTAACTTAGCACCCCTCACATTTCTGTGACATCTGGAAGTCTTTTGCTCAGTTGTTTAAAACTTTTCACTGACACTTCCAGATTCCTAATTAATTTTGTCACGAGGTGATTTCTGCCTTGCTTTCATAGCCTCAACAATAAAGCTTGATCACAGAGTCATCTCAGAAACTCGAACGTCTGTCAAAGCTGTCATAATGCGCATTCATACACACCGATTTAGCCCAGAGCACAGCAGCCTGGAAACTTATTATGAGCGCTTTATCTTCAAGCTTATCGTCTTGTATTTGTCATGGCTATCTGCTTAATGAGTTTTCCATCTTATGAAAGTGTCAGTCAAAGGCAATTATTGCTCACCAGAAATATAGCGGCCAACTTCAGCTTTAAACTGGCTCATTTTGAATAGGTTAAGCAGATGGATGGAAAATTAAGTGTCTTTTGTGATGTTTAAAACAATTATTTGGAAACTGCAGTAGATATGATATGAAAGTTACTGGATGTTATATAGTTTTTGACTATGCAGAATTTCAATGCTCTGTGATATTCAGAATTATACATTTGGCCTTTAAGTGAATTCAGGCATTTTGTCTGTCATAAGTTGGTATTTGTCCACCAGCTTGAGGTTCTGTCAAGTTGTTTGAATTGTTAAGTGAATTTTAGTGAGTGAAATCCAGTCATTTAATTTGCAATCTATGCAGTCTGGAAATACATGTGATGGCGAAAACTGCTGGGTTAAAAATTGCCTTCTTTTTGAGCTGTTTTTTTTTTTTTTTTTTTTTGATGATTTCACATTTCAAAAATGTAAAATAATAATACGTAAAATGCAATAAATTACTTTACTTTAAAAATGAGTAAATCCTATACCTTAAAAGCTTCAAGTTGAGCAAAAAAGCAAGTAAATCTTGTTTAACTATTTAGTTGACAAATTGATTTTTTATAATTATCCAATTTAAAATTGTATAATTTATTTATTTTTAAGGCAAAGTGGCTACTGTCATTTTAAGTGAATTTTTTAAGTCAACTAATCACTATAAAATAATTGAATTTACTCACTTTTTTAAGTACAATTAGCTAATCACTTTAAAAGAAATAGATTTGCTAAAATCTCTTTAAGCTAAATAGATTTACTCACCTTTTTAGGTGCAATCAACTAATCACTCTAAAAGCAGTGGGTTTGCTCACTTTTTAAAGTAGTTAGCTAATCAATTTTATAGAGACTTCTCACCCGATTACATGAAGAAAAAAAATAATGTAAAGTAATGTATTAAAGTTAAAAGCCCCAATGTACTTAAAATTGACAGTGTTATGCTTATTTTGGTGAATAATTGTAATCTTTTAAGTGAACAATTAATCTGATAATTCAGATATTTGTAATCTTCAATAAAAGTCTTTAAGACTTTAAAGTGAAATTTAAAAAACAAATTGATGTAACATAATTTTAAACAGAACAAAGTTTGTTTGTTACAGGAATTTGAAACAGCTTAACAAAGTGACTTTTCCCAAAAAGTTAAAGTTGGCTTCAGCCAGTAAACACCTTTGAACTAACTCAAACACTGAAGAGCTGATTTATATTAGAAGCTGAACTGTAATTCTAATTGAAAGCAACTCAAAGCTGTGTTGTCCTGTTTAAAGCTATAAAACTGCTCATACATTTAACAGTAAAACAGTTGAAAAGCTTGTTTAAACACCATAATTACGATTAAAAGATGCTTTCTTAACTGCTCTTTTTTACTGTAATGTTCATTTGCTTATTTTTTTTAATATTTCAATTTTATTGAAATATATTTGCTTTCAGCAAAGAATGAAAACAGAACTTTGCGTCAGTATTTATTATTACTTTAAATATGGACTTTTGGACTTAATAGAGAAGCTTAGAATTTTAAATCTTTAATAAAATCAAAAACAACTCTCAAAAATATAATATTTTACAGTTATATGCAACAAAAACGCATGAATTTCTGCTTTTTTTGAGATGCTAGTCACCACACCACACCCTGTCATTCACCAGCTCACACACAATGCCAGGCACGCACTCTACCACAGAGCAACAACAATAAAAATCCCCATTCAATATTGCTTTTTACATAGGACCAAATCCCAGATACAATCTTATGGGCACACTTATAAAATAATAACATCTTAGTCTCAAACTCCCTAGACTCATTCACACTCACTGCTGTCCAGTCCGTGAGGCTCTCAGAACACATTCCCCAGTGTCTATGCCAATAAAAAATGCTCAGGATGCACAAAAAAATACTCAGTTGAGAGATGGAAGAGCGTTGTTCACAATGCCTCATAAACATGAAAATGGCTATTATATTTAACATGTAGAATGTTAGATATTAGAATTTCTTGAAATTAAATATGGGTTATTGCACCTTTGGAAACTTATAGTATACATTTCTGCTATAAAAGACATAAAAATGTGCTTTTTACAATATTTAATATTCAAGAAACATAAGAAGATATTAATATATAGAAGATTAAATGAGGAATTAATTTTTTTGTAAAAGCAGCACACTAAAATGTACCAATTTCAAGTTAACTACGTTAATTAAAAATGCCAGTCATGTAAGAAATGGAATGAGAGCTAAGAAAAGATCAGTAAACATAATTTAAATAGTGGTAAATATTCAAATAAGTTTGACATTAAGCTGTTTAAACTTCTGAGGAGCATGTTTGGCACATTGTCAGGTTATAAAATAAATGCTCAGTGTGTTTTAGAATAAAAAATAGCAATATTTTGAATAAATTACAAACTTAAAAGTGTCTCTAACTAAAATCAACATCTTTATTTTAATATAGCCTCTTGTCTCAGTGGCTGAAGCATGTAATAGGTCTTGATTTCCTGTCTCTGGTGGGCGTCTGCACCTGTTAGCCTGAGCCTGAAGTCCCCCATTCCCTCTAAATTCTGCCCTGTTTGGTCCACAGAGGAGCCCATCAGCCCTGAGCGAGACTCACCTAATGAGGCTTCCCAGCCGGACGGTCCTGTCACTGGGTGAGAGACGAGCTGAAAAAGACAGCGGAGCGTGGAGTTGAAGAGAGGTGTAATTCCAGCCGGCAGACTGCGGGACGGGGAACACAGAAGATTGAGAGAGGTAAGAGAGAGGGAGAGAGAGAGAGAAGGGTGGACTGGTTTCCTATTACACTCCTCTCCTCTTGAGCCCCCCTCCTCTTTTCTCTCTTCCCTCCTCTCTCTCTCTCTCTCTCTCTCTCTCTCTTTCCCTTTCTCTTTGAGTAAATGAACAGATATTCCAGACCTCTGAGTCTCACTTTGCCTGTATAGTGAACAGCAGTTTAGGAGAAAGTGCCACAGCTCTTTGGATTTATCACTGGATTATTAAGTACACAAAATGATAACCAAACAGCGGGGGAAATTGCCTTTTTTATATACGTTTTACATATGTTAAAGATTTTTCCAAATATAGCTGATGTTATTTAGATTTACACTGTAAAAAATAAAAATATGGGGGGAAAAAATCAATGTAAAACTTTCAGTGTAAGTAAAATATCAATAAATAATACTGGTAGAAGTATTATATACATATTTATTTAATAAAATAAGCATATGCGTTTGATGTTAATATTTAATATGTATTTGCTTAATATTTGTTAAAGGAAATTTGATGGCTGGAAGGTATTAAAAAAAGTATTTTCCAATTCAGAAAGCCTTGTTCTTAGCGGTGGCAGTTAAGTGAATTGCAATTGGTAAATTTTGGTTTGTTGCATGTATGCACATGTAACAGACAGAATATAATTCAATGACTCACAGCAAAATCCTTTTCTATTCTTTCTTAGAAAAACACAGAAAAATGAAACATTTTGTTCGTTTACTAGAGCTATTGCAAAAAACGTTTGACAAATCAAAGTCTGCATAATTTTATTTTTTTTTTAAAGCAGATGACGCTCTAGGTTAGTTTTGAACAGCAGATGGTGCTCTAGTTTTATTTTTTGTTTTTTGTTTGTTTGCAATTTAAGCTAGTTTTTAAGTTGACATTTATGTCACATGATTAATGTAAACACAGCTTACTGTGAATACTCTTGAAGTTTGCTTAAACCTTTCATAACTTCATTAATTATTATTTTAGGTTCAAGTGGTTTTTGTATGGAATTGGAGGCAAGCAGGAGCTGTTTGTAAAGAATACATCTCCATCTGCTATTTAAAACTAAGCTGAGAATTCATTCTACATAAGATACTGATGTACTTCTGATGAAAATCTCAGAATCAATGCAGAATACATTTTTATGAGCAGTTCTTTACCGCAGCTCTATAATTCAGCTCATTCAGTATGTAGTAGTATTTTTTCTTAAAAGTAGAACTTTTTAGAAATATTTGACAAGAAACCATGAAAAAATATACAGGCATGACTAAATTAATATCTGTGATACTTAAAGATACTTTTTACAACAGTTCTTTCTGGTTCTCAAATCTGATTAGCTGATAGCCGTGCGATATTCTGTAATGTCAGCACTCTTACAGCCTCTTCACCCTTTGTATTATTCCACCCACATGGGTGTCAAGCAAATGACTAAACACACCACTCACCACAATTTGCCAAATATTGCAGCTGTTGTACAACATAATGTACATTTTGTACTTTTTTGGAGAGAATGTAGTTGTTTAGATTGCAACTATGCCGTTTATTTATAAAGATAATGATTTCGGTAATGATTATAAAGATGCATAATTTTGGGCAAAGCAAAGATATTTATGGTTGATGCTCTACCAAAAGATAGTGATAGAGAGCGCTTAAAACGTCCTTTGGGAGGAAACTGTGAATGACGGAGGAAGTGTTTTTTTTTGTACAAAAGGGTTTTCGAGACATTCCATGTTTGATTCAGTGCCCTGTGGCCTAAAGCCAACACACACCTGCCAGCAGTGCCAATATACATCCACTTTAATGTTTGATGTAATCAAAGATATCACAAGTAAACACATTATGCAGTTTTGAAATTAAGGTTTTTATTATTAAGGGAAAGCAAAATACAGAACCACATAGTCCTGGATGAAAACATGTCAGGCATGTATATGTCAATGTATAAGGTGTTTACTTGTGTTATCATTGACTAATATTTAAATTAGTTTGATGATCTAAAACTTTAAAGTATGGAAAACTTGAAAAGTAAAAGGAAATCAGTAGGGGTGCAAACTTTTTTATTCAATTATTTACAGCAGTAATACATTTTAATCCACAGCCTTGCAAACAGTCATGAGCCTATTCACAACGTTCTTCAGTTATTCATGTTAAATGTTAACTCTTCAGTTTCCTGAATGCTTCCTTGTGTGGAAGTTGATCATTACAAAGTAATTGTGCCATAATCATAATTGCACCCTAACACTGTGATCAGAATCAGAAAGCCTGTTATTTTACTTTCCCAACCAAATACAAAAATACTCAATGGAATTTGTTATTTGGAGTTACATTATAGAATCCCCATTGTCCATGTGGATAACAAAACTCTAGTTCATTGTGCTTTTGTGGTTATTGACTCACTACTGCAGTTCCGAACCACCGGATTAAACTATCATCCTGCCATTAATAAAAAGCCCCATAAATTGACGGTGAAATCTCTCCATACACACATCCACAGCCTAGATTGAGCTTTTTTCTGTCCAAGATTCCAGTTGCAAGGGAAGTGCAGGGAGCTGGACGTTCTGGAGCCAATTTCCAGACCACATTGTGCAGACTTCAGCAAGGAAAGACAGAATTGCCCTCACTACCACAATTCCACCGCCAACTTATTAATTACAGATGGTGAAAGCTGGATGCGTGTCATGTGAATGATAGCCAAATGTTCAATAAAATTGCAAAGAGCCCATATGTAGTGCTCTTTATGACAGCTGCAGTGGCTCCAAGAGGTATTTGGACATGTGAGTTATTTAAAAATGCAGGCTATTGTTTTTTCCTGCTTGCTTGACTTCTTATTTAAATGCATTGACATTCATTTGACCTAATTGTCAGACACTTTTATTAAATGAAAATTCATTTTATGTTGAAATCATAGGGTACAAGTGTTTGACATCTTGATGTTGACGTGGCATGACCTAAAATTGTCTTCCAGAAAGGTGCTGTAAAGAATCTTATAATTATTTAAACATCCAAGTCTTAAATAGTCCTTTTGGTACCCATTTTTAATATCTGCAATTCAATTTATGTGATTTAATTCAAAGGTATAATAATAAATAATAAATTAAAAGTAATTAAACCAATTAGGATTTATAATATTTCCCCTATGTTATTAGCATTTTTAAGAAATATAATGTGCAAAGGATGATAAATGGAAAATATAGATATTTGTAAGATAAGAAAAAGTACTAATAAAAATGTAATAAAATGTTTAATTTGTACATTTTATTATCTAAAAAATATATATATATTGAGGATTTTTAAATAACAATGTAGTTGTTTAGATTGCTACTGTGCATAAGGATAGTGCTTATAAAGACGGTTGATGTTTTGCCAAAAGATGGCAACAGAGACCACATAATAATTGCTTAGAGGAGAATAACTCAGCGTAATTTCAAATGAAAGCTTATCAAATCTATATAAAACAGGTAAGAGACATTCTAAGTTGATCTCTCTCTTTTGTATGTTGTAGTGCTGTAATTATACTATGTTAATCTAGTAGTGTTTGCTTTGCTTTGGCTTTTTCGGGGTTCATTATTGTGAAATCCCAATTGCAACAGAGAAGTACTGGGAAATTTCTGTAGACTGATGGCATTTCATGCTGTTCAGCCTTAAAATCTTTAAATGTGAGCAAAATCACCTGTTTTGTCATTACTTTAGATATTATGCTAGAGAATGAATCAAATACTAGCTTTCGCTCAGCATAATGGAGATTTCTTCAGTTATATTATTTTAATCATTTGGGATGCAGTGACACTCAGTCAACTATTTCGCCAATCAGATCATTAACTTTTGACGCTCATAAACAACTATAAAGTCCTTGTGCTGCAAAAAATTTTAAGGTTTGTTAAAGGTGCAGCTGTCGTGCAGTGAGGGGTTTACATCTTCAATAATCCATGACAGCTTGCGTTTATTGAACAGTAAGAATGATAAAAAACAATCCTGTAAAAGTCACGTCTCGTCTTCAGTTTCGGGCTCAGGCGCGCTTTGCACTCACACTACAAGCGTACAGCACTAAAGCTTAAGTAAACCACGCTCTGGCACACCTCTTCCAACCGGGCGAGGGCCGGCCAAGTGAACCAAGCCTGAGCCCGATTCAGAGCACTCACTCTTCTCAAACGATCCGGGAAATGGGCCTGGGCCTGGTTCGGATAGGATAGTGTGAGTACAACCTAAGGCACTCAGCGTTTCACAATACAGTATGTTATTAACAATATAAATTGCAGTAAGCAAACCTCTATTGTAAAATATTTGCGTTGTTCAGTAGTTGTGTGATAATTTATGTGTGAAAAGGGTTCCAGTGGTCGTGAGTTGTAATTACAGGTTACTATATTGCTGTTGTAATTACAGTCTCAAGTTAAATACTGTCAAAGAGTCTGAAGTTGCTGCCACTTTACAGCTTTAGTTTAAAAAGCAGTCTTGCTGAAACCAATTGTGTGCCAGTGGTTTTGGTTTATGTATGCATGCGTGTGTGTGTGTGTGTGTGTGTGTGTGTGTGCGTGCGTGTGTGTGTGCGCGCAAGCGTGTGTGTGTGTGTGTCCGTGTGTCCGTGCGTGTGTGCGTGTGGTGACAGCAGGAGGAAATAATTAGCTCTTCTCTGACTCTTGAAGTGATTTACAGCTTTCCAGTCAAATGGTCAGAGTGAAGGCTTGTTCATTGGACTGTAAAATCACACACACAGAGACACACACACACACACACACATACGACACAGTGCTTATTTAGACAAGACACTTCAATAACTTTAATAGTTAATAGATTACAGTAAATAGTTATTATCAACTTCTCAGGATTTCTGTATTTCAAATTTTCTGTATGCAAATTACAGAGTCAGAACAGGAGATTAAAATAGACAAATGTTTCGGCTGCCTGCCTTTGTTAGTGTAACAAGAGTTTTTTGCTTAATGTCTTATTGCCCAAATTTTCTAATTGAATTGATTAGAAATTGAATTGAATTGATTAGTCTATGGATTGATTGATTAATTGA